TTTTTCCATCTTTTTGTGTCTTCTTCAATTTCTTTCATGAGTGTTCTGTAGTTCCTAGAGTATAGATCCTTTACCTCTTTGGTTAAGTTTATTCCGAGGTATCTTATGGTTTTTGGTGCTATTGTAAATGGAATCATTTCTCTAATTTCTATTTCTACAGTTACATTGTTAGTGTATAAGAAAGCAACTGATTTCTTTGCATTGATTTTGTATCCTGCCACATTATTGAATTGCTGTATGAGTTCTAGTAATTTGGGGGTGGAGTCTTTTGGGTTTTCCACATAAGTATCATGTCATCTGCGAAGCGACAGAGTTTGACTTCTTCTTTGCCGATTTGAATACCTTTTATTTGGGGTGGGTGTTTTTAAGGTCAATAAAACATTATGGAATCCATGCTATTTTACTCAGGTTTTTATACAAGTGTCCTTATATAATGAGTAAAATGTAAATTACTCCCACTCCTGCTGAACCTGACAGCACCATGGAGTAGAAATAGACAAGCACTCTTGGCTTTACTTTGTTAGCCATTTTTGCCAGCCACACATGTAAGCTGTAATAACCAGGAGTCGTGTTACCAAATAGACACCAGCTAGCTCACAGGTGCCTGAAGTTAAGAGCTACAGTGACCTGAAATTCTAAAACTTAATCATTTGCTGCACATTTGAATTACCTGTAGAGCTTTAAAAAAACAAAAACAAAAAACATCCAAATGCCCAGGTTGCATCCCGTATAAATTAAATCAGAATGGCTAGGAATGGAAGTCAGGTGTCCAAATCAATTGGAATGATTCCAAGTGATTGGAATCTCCAAATGATTCCAGTGCACAGCAAAGTTTGAGAACCATAGGAATAAGGCAAGAATTAGGACTGTTCATTAGAAATGAGCAATTTTATTTTATGAATTGAAACATAAATGTATTGTTTGCTTTCTGAGAAGTTGTGTTTCAGAAAATGACACGAAATGCATGTCAAGAATCCCCATTTCCCCTTTTAAATCACACATACTTCTCAGAATAAAAAAATATAAATAAGTAAATAAATAAAAAACACATAATTAAAGAATATTGGTTTGGAGGGGTGTCAGACCTTTGGCCTCCCTCCAGCCTTGGTCCAGAGAGAAAGCTGGGTCTGCCCATGATCCCTCCGTCCGGGCTTGGCTAACTTGCTGCTGCTTTGTCTCACCCCTACAGGGCATGGTGGAAAAGTGGCTCCAGCAGGTGGAGAAGATGATGATTGCCAGTATGCAGGAGGTTATTAGACTTGGGATTGAAGCATATGTCCAGGTAAATGAGAATCAGTGTACACGTGCCAAGGTGTGAGTACAGTGACAACAACGTTGGGGAGAAGGTTAAATGGATCAATTCTAAGCACCCCTCTGCCTTCTACCAAAACCCACCCGGATCCTGCTAGGTAACACCTGACCCCTCCGTGACCCTGCTGGGCCTCTCTCTTCTTTCCTTCTGAATCCTGGAGTGATGCACATATTTCTGGTGAAATGTTGCCAGTTAGAAGCAGGTGGCACAAGACAAGATGGTTAGCCAGAACCCTCTGGCTGCTACCTGCAAGTCCCTTCTGTGAAATGAATTGATGGCAGGAGGTCTTTTTAGAGCACCTTCCAATTAAGCATTTCTCCCTCTAGGCTTTTCATTTACAGTACACATGCCCTGAACGGTACAACTCATTAAACTCCCGAAGCATTAGGGGAAACAGGTATGACCGAAGGAAGCCAAAACAAAAGAACTGTGGGCGATGGCTCTTCAGCCAGCTCCTAGCAAGGTTAAATGTAGGCAGACCAGGTCTTTGTGCTCCTTGACTTTGGGTGCCTTTTCTTCTTACTTTTCAGGGCCCCACCCCCATGACCCCTTCCATCAAATAGAAGAATATACTAAAGTACGGGGTACTGACCCTGCTGTCCCTCTTAGAAGTATTGCACTGTAAATGAAAGGCCAGTCCTTTGTCCTATGATTTATTTTAACTAAAAAATTAAGTTAAAGAACAATGGCGAGCTGTATGGAATGACTTCATGCCATTGCATCTAGAGAAAGAGTCAGCAAACATTTTCTGTAAAGTAAATGTTTTTATAATGTCTTCAGCTCTGTGGGCCACACACACTATTTATCTTTGCCTTCATAGTGCAGAAGCAGCCTTGGATGATCAGTAAGGAATGGGTGTGGCTGTGTTACAATACACCTTTATTCACAAAAACAAAAGCAAGGCCAGATTCAGCCCTCTGTGTAGTTTGCCAGACCTATAGTTTAAAACAAGTTTGGGGGGTTCTAGGCAAGGCTAAGAAAACTGGCCCAGCACTGCAATATTATGTAGCCATCAAAAAGGGTAGTTATGAAAACTGTCTGTGAACAGCACCTTGATTATAACTGTGTAAAATCCTTGGATTGGGACCTTAAGAAAAAAAAAAAAAGCTGATGAGATTGTTGATGATTTTTTTTCTTTTTCATAAAATTCAGGGAGGAAGACATAAATCAGTAATCCCAAGATATCAAGTATGGTAGCTTCTGAGGGTGGAGGAGGATTTTGTATTTGTTGAGGGGGTATGGTGGTGGGGGATGTTTTTCAGATGTTCGTTTAAGTCCCACAAGATGAACTGACTGTACCACATGCCCCTCTGCACTTTCCCAGTTCCCTCGTAATCAGTGGGTCTTGCAGTGGCCTGGCCAGGTGGTTATCTGCGTCTCCTCCATCTTTTGGACCAAGGAGGTGTCCCAAGCCCTGGTGGAAAACACCCTACCAGTAAGTGAGTGTGTCACGAAGCTTGTAGAGGAGATTCAAGCTCGATTAGGATCTGAAGGACTTATAATTAAAGTAGCCGTGTTTTCTAAACAACAACAACAATAAACTCACAGCGTCCAACCATGGCATAGAGAAGTCAGGGTTTTCATGGGGACAGCAGGATGGAGAATTTGGAATTGGAGCTGTCCCGGAGTTCTGTAGTGTAATAGCCCTCATGGTCCTTCCCAGGCAGAAATTCTAGGCTGCAGAATTTTAAGTTTTTATCAGTCTTTGCTTCCAGGGGTCAACCTGGTAGAATTTCCACCAACAGAGACCTCTGGTCTTCTTCCTGGGCCAAAAGACCACCTGGTCCCATTTTCCCCTCCTCCTCCACCATTACCTGCTTCTTACCGCCTGCAGTTGAACACAAACCCACCTACAGCTCTTCCTTCAGTGTTCTCTCGAGACCAAGAGTGCTCAAGTCCTGCTTGTCCTCAGATCTAGACATGCATATTTCCACTTAACTCCTGCCGTTGAGGCCAGTGCTTGAGAGTTCAAGACCTGGATGAACTTGGGTTCAAATCCTGATACTTTCCCTTGTTAGCTGTGTGACCATGGGCAAGTTCCTTAACCTGAGTCTCAGTCTCCTTGACTATATAATGCACCACGGGGCACCACATTGTATTATAACATCATAGTACTGTATTGTGGGAGAGTTAAATGAGATGCTGGCAAGTTAGCCAGTACTAGAACCCAGGCCATGAACCCCACAGGGCAGAGACCATGTCTGTTTTGCTCACTATTTATCTCCTGGGGTTACTGCAATGCTGAGCACATAGTAGGTGCTCAATAAATATTTACTGAACAAATGAATGGTAACTTCATTCCCAACATTTTCACCATGGTATCATTTCTCATGATGATCTCATCAGACCTTCTGTTCTTCCCCCTATAGATGACTGGCTACGGACCAGAAAATATTTCAATTTACTATATTTTGCTTTATACCTTAAAATTAGAACATGAGCATTTGACCAAGGTTCAAATTTATACACATTCTGTGTTGATAAGTCCTACAAACATATTGCACTTGCAAACTGCTTTCATGTATTTCATTTCAAACTTTTGAAACACTAAAAAATTCTGATTTTTATGACTGCATCTCTGTGCCCCAGGTTTCCTACCTGTAAAAAGGGGAGACTGCTTCACATCACACACCCCAGCCCTGGAGTATATGGATCCTGAATAATGTGGCTCAGCATCCTAAACGAAGCAGGTGTTGGTACAGGATCGCCATCCATCCATCAATCCATCCATCCTTCCTTCCATCCACCCATCCATCCCTTGTTCATTTAACAAATATTTGTTTGACATCTGCTCCATGCTGGAATGATGCTACTAGGCAAAGGGATTTAGAGTTGAATGAGAGAGACATGATCCCTGTCCTCATGGATTTACAGTCTAGTGGGGGAGATAAAAAGTCTCTGCTAGAACTGTGATAAGGAAAGTACAGGGATCCAGGAAGCATGGGAAGGAAGGAGAGAAGTAAGAGAAGGGTTAGAATTGGAGACAATTTTCCAGAAAAATGGTGTTTAAGGGGAGACATGAAATATAAATAGGAATTAGCCAAGCAAACAACAGGAGAAAGAGTGTTCCAGAGAGAGAGACCAGAATGTGCAAAAGTCTGAAGATGAAAAATATGGTGCATTCCAGCAACTGAAGGCACTTGAATCTAGAATAGCTGTGGAATGGGTGTGGTTCAGAAAGATGTGTGGAGCAGCCCTATCACCAAGGGTTTTACAGACCCACAGCAAGGGCAATGGGGAAGCATTGAAAAGGTTGTTTTTTTGCTGTGTGTCGGGAACTTTATTAATAACAATAACAACCATCAGTATTTACTGGATACTTGATTCACATTGTGCCAAGTGCTTCACCATCTCATTGAATCTTCAAAACAGCTCCAAGAGGTAGCTGTAATTATCTAGACTCAACAGGAGACTGAGACTCAGAGGATTAATATCATTTGCCCAGAACTGCATAGCTAGGAAGTGGGGAAGGTGAGCTATGAACCTAAGGTGGTCTCCGTTTCTCTTCCTTTTTAAAATTTATTTCTGTTTTTTAACTCTTTATTTTGAAGTAATGTCAGCCTTACAAATAATGTTGCAAAAATAATGCAAAGAATTCTCATACACCCTCCATCCAGAATCCCCCAATATTAACATCTTAAATAACCATAGTACAATTATCCAAATCAGGAAACCAACATTGGTGCAAGACACATTCTTATCTAATACGTAGACCTTTTAAATTGACTAATCTCAATTTAGCCATTTGCCCCACTGATGGCTTTTTGCCTGGTCCAGGATCCCTTCCAGGATTATTGTTTACATACATTTAGTTTTCATATCCCCTGTGTCTCCTTTAATCTGAAAAAGTTTCAGAGTTTTTTTTTATTAATTCAGATCTATTGCATAATTTCTATACAATAAAATTCACCCCTTTTAGTGTACAATTCCGAGTTTGAACAAACACATACATTTGTGTAACCACCATCCCAATCAAGATATAGAACCGTTCCGTGCCCCCCTGCCCCCCAATTCCCTCAAGCCCCTTATAGCAGTCCCTTCCCCTGCTCCACGCCTCTGGCAATTACCAATCTGTTGTCTGCTCCTATAGTTTTGTCTTTTCCACGATATCGTAACAATAAAATCAAGGAACCTAGCCTTTGAAATTTGGCTTCTTTCAGTTAGCATAATGCACTTGCAATTCATCTAGAGGTTAATGAAGGGGGTGAAGGAAAGGGACCTGGAGTGGTAGAGTATGCTGTTCCCCAAGAGGGGGTTACAGAGGAGAATCCAGTTTAACCAGTTGTCCCCTCCTATGCCCCCGCCAGGATTATCTGAAAAAGAGCAACAATCAGATTGCACAAATTGTCCAGCTGGTGCGAGGGAAGCTGAGCAGCGGGGCTCGACTCACCCTCGGGGCCCTCACGGTCATCGATGTCCACGGTGAGCAAGGAGGCTTCTCGGCATTGTTGACTGTCTAAGAATGGCAGCCAGGCTTGCTGCTCCCCATTGAGAGCCTGGATGGAGTGATTCAGGGTCCCCTTTGCCATTAGGGAGGGGCTTCTGCAACTGAGAGTAAGGTGAGGGGGTAAGGAGAGAAGCCAGATATTTTCCCCTCCCGTCCCCACCTTGTTTCCAGGAAACCTCCAAGCAGGGCTCTCCCCGAGACAAGGGCAGCCCAAGCCATTTCTGAGATTCACCAACTTGGAACGATTTCTTGAGGCTGACCATAGCTAATATTTTTGAATACTCACCAGGTGCCAGGCTCTGTGCTAAGTGCTTGACATATATTATCTCATTTTTATACACACTTCTCAAATTAAGAACCTGAGGCTTAGGTAAGTAACTTACCCAGAGGCATACAGCTACTAAGGAGCAGAGGCTGTTTTATACTTTGATGTAATTGATTTAATTGTAATTCTATGTCTGTCTGATTTCAAACCCAAGAGACTGGAAGTGGGCAGTGTATGCAGGGAGGCAGTGGGAGAGAGATAATGCCTTCCAGCACTTCCCTGAAATTAAAAAAAAAAAAAAAGAAGAGGAGGAGGAGGAAGAACTGGGGTCTTTATATAAAACAAACCACCCCCTCACCCTCACTCCATCACCACCAAGGAAACTAGGGCTGGACTAGCTGGTTGCCTGGAAACAGTGTCTCTCTTGTTCATACACCCAGCTTCCTCCTGGCATTTCGTGGCATCTTATTCTCCTTAAGGTTGATGCTCATTTCAATCTAATTTCTCTTGGATAGACTAGCATGAAATCAGGGAGAGAGAAGGGAGAATGTGACCTTCATTTGGTAGGAAGTGCAGGTGTGGTCACTGCCCAAGGCTCCCCAGAGCGGTGGTGTTCACACACATGCACACACACACATACACACCCATGCACAAAACATGCACACATATACACACTGCATCATGCAGCATCCCCAAGTCAGTCCCTTGAGATTCACCTTCCTCTTGGGTCCCTCATGGAGACCCCTACTCCTGCTACCAGTCTATGATTTCCCTCAAGAACCTGGAGGGAAATTAAATTCCTCAGGAAGGAAGGAAGAGCTGTTGGTATAATCTTCCAGGACTCTTCTCTGGAGGGTTTTGGATTTCACTGTCATAAAGACTTCTCTTCGCAGAGAGTCAGTAGACTTGTAGAAGCATCCCTTTACAAAGTTATGTTTCTGAAATACTAAATTCGAGCTGCTGTCCTACTTTTTTTTTTTCTTTCTTTTTTTAAGTAGGCTCTGTGCCCAGTGTGGGGCTTGAACTCATGACTCTTGAGATCAAGACCTGAGCTGGGATCAAGAGTTAGATGCTTAACCAACTGAGCCACCCAGGTGCCCCTACTGTCCTAGTTCTGAGATCTCAATAGCTCTCACCTAAGAATTCCCTAAAAAATAGCTAATGATTTTTAGAAACCTCTGTTCACTCTTCAACTTCAGGGCCTCCCATGACGGTGAGAAAATCAAATTAGGCTCATAATCCTGTGAGAGAAAGAAGGAAGTCCAGAAGTATATCTCCCATCTGGTTTCTCAGGCCCCCAGATGGAAAGACTATATCTAACTATGGGTTCATGGGACCCCTTCCCTTGCCAACTGCATCAGGCCAAGCTGACTATATTCTCCTCGGATATCCTAGAAGCCTGGAACAGGGCCAAAAGGGTCATACTGGGGATATGACAGCATTTGGGAAAACTACATATTGCAAAGCTCTCTGGGTCAGTCCACCAAGAATTTGGGAATATTTATACAGCAGCTAATATTTATATAATCTTTCTTTTCTTTCATCTGTCTACATCTGCATATACATGTAGATGTGTAGATATTTATATATGTGTGTATATATATATATATGTATGTGTAAGTATATATATGTGTGTGTATACGGTTGATCCTTGAACAACATGGGTTTGAACTGCACAGGTCCACTTATATGGGAATTTTTATCGATAAATACAATACAATACTGTAAGTGTATTTTCTCTTCCTTGCGATTTTCTTAAATATTTTCTCTAGCTAACTTTATTGTAAGAATACAGTATATAATACATGTAACTTACAAAATATGTGTTAATTGGCTGTTATCTGTAAAGATTCCAGTCAACAGTAGGCTATTAGTAATTAAGTGTAAGGGGAGTCAAAAGTTATACGCAGATTTTTTACTGTACCGTGAGTGGGCACCCCTAACTTCCACGTTGTTCAAGGGCCAACTGTATATACAGTTAATCCTCCTAATAACCATATAATAACTCTATAAGGTAGGTACTGTATTACCCCATTTTACAGATTACACAGCTCAATAGAGAGGTTGAGTAACTTGCCCAAAGTCACTAGCTAGTTAATGGCAGATTCAGAATTAGGATCCAGGCAGTCTGATTTCAGAGTATGCACTTTTAATGCCTCTGCTGTACTCCGGGAGCAGACAACGCAGCAGATTCTCTGCCTGGCTCCTTGGGAGAAGCAAAGACCAGCTTCTGAAAGAAATTGCTACCTGCAGGTTAGGGGTAGGCAGGGAGGCTAGTTGAGTCTGAAACTGTTTGAAGAGGGAGGGGTGGCCTGGATGATGTCCTCAGACCTTCTCTGAGCAGTCTGTGGACATAGGAGTATGCTGACAGCTCTGCATTTGTGTGTTTCCATGTCTGCATCTGTCCCAACAGCTCGCGACGTGGTGGCCAAGTTATCTGAGGACAATATCTGTGATCTGAACGATTTCCAGTGGATCTCCCAGCTGCGTTACTACTGGGATTCGAAGGATGTGCAGGTGCAGATGATCACCACAGAAGCCTTGTATGGCTATGAGTACCTGGGGAACTCCCCCCGGCTGGTGATTACACCCCTCACTGACCGCTGCTACAGGTAACCTCTGCCCCTCCCCCTGCCCAGACCCAAAGGGTGAATAGAGAATTCCAGAAGGAAAACCTTCTGGGGAAGAAGGTGAGGGGCATCTTGAGTTTGTGACCCTTCCCTCTGCATTTCATATTCTGAGATTTTAGAATTTTGCCCTTAGTTACCATGGTCCCACAGATGGGCATGGAAATTAGGCCTTAGGCCAGAAATGAGAACCCAGTAGGAGTCCTAATGCAAATTAATGTGGCCAAACCAACAAGCAGAACATTGATGCCTGTCCTTAAAAATGCCACAGTGCTTAAGTAGAAAGCTCTCTGATGGCAGGAATCAAGATGGTGCCTGGAGATCCCATGGACGAAAGCTAGAAAAGGAGCCAGGTAAGGACTCTGGCAAGGAGTCTCCAAGCTCAGCCAGCTGGTGAGATGTAGTCATTCTGTGCTCAGCAAAGTGCTTTATCACTTTCCTTGGTATTCATACCATTAGAAATCTGACCTCTGTGAATGTGTCCACTTTGTGATATTTAGATTTTCTTTGATTTTGTATATTCCTTAAAGTGGAATTTTTTGTAATCATAAAGATAATTCTTGAGTATTATTTCTTTCAAAGCCCTCAATCACTTATTTTCTGTGGTCTCTGATTTCTGGTCTTCATTCATTCATTTATTTCACCTGTTATTCAATAGCCATTTCTTAAACTCTCCTGTGTACCATGCATGCCATCAAGAAACCCTCAACCTAATGGGGTCAGGGGACAGAGACGTAGTCAGATGAGTATAAGATGGTGTGTTAAATGAAACTATAGAGGCTCATACAAGGGTCTGTAGAGCCACAAGTGAAGAACACATCAATTTCTAACATTTATTTTGTCCCTACTCTTGTCAAAGTGAATCAAAATACAGGTCCTAAACTCATGAGTTCATAACCCAGTGAGAGAAATATATTTATTTCCACCACTCCATTAGTACTGGTGATCTTTGGAATCTGGAGTTTATGAAGATTTTTAACTTTTATTTGATTCATTTGTGTATGTATTCATTTATCCATTCAATCATTCATTCAAACAAATGTTTATGGGTGCCCACGCACCAGGCCCTGGGGTTACAGTGCTGAGTAAAACAGATTTGTTTACAATGATGATATATTGGTCATATAATCAGAAAAAAATTAAAGCTATTTGTATGAGTCAGAACAAAATAAAGCAAAAGTCAGTTTCTTTCCTATGTCTTAGGACTTGGGCACCAAATTCTTCTTCTTCTTCTTTTTTTTTAAAGAGAGGGAGAGAGGCAGGGGAGGTGCAGAAGGAAAGAGAGAATTTTAAGCACTCCATACCAAGCACAGAGCCCAAAGTGGGGCTCAATCTCACAACCCTGAGATCATGACCTGAGCTGAAATCAAGTCATTCACTTAACTGACTGAGCCACCCAGGTGCCCCATTGGGTACCAAATTCTTATTTTTCCCCTTAGGACACTGATGGGGGCTTTGAAGCTGAACCTTGGGGGAGCTCCGGAGGGACCAGCTGGCACAGGCAAGACAGAAACCACCAAAGATCTGGCCAAAGCTTTGGCCAAGCAGGTAGGGAAATGCTGTCTATTCTTAAGCTCTCCTCCTATTCCTCTCTGGACTCCTGTCAGGAGAGTTGGCATGAAGTTCAATATGGTATAGGGGGAGAGAAAGAGTGGGGCCCCAGCTCCTGCAGTGGAATAGGAAGAAAGGAGCCCCACCTGTATTTCATGTGCAGGGTAATTCAGATATGAGAGAACCCATCCCTAATGGTGCCCACATCCTTCCTTCTCTCTAGTGTGTGGTCTTCAACTGCTCAGATGGTCTGGATTACAAAGCCATGGGGAAGTTCTTCAAGGGACTGGCCCAGGCTGGAGCATGGGCCTGTTTCGATGAGTTCAACAGGATTGAGGTAATGCTGCAACTGGCCTGCAGAGCAGGGGTTGAACATACAGGGGCCTTTCATCTGGGCTCTCAGCTCCTCAGTGACAGGGGTTATATGTCCTCTAAAACCCCTGTACAGAGTAAGTACTCAACAAACTAAACAAAAACAGTCCCAAGAAGACAAAGTACATATTTTATATACATATATATCCTCATCGTATTCATTCACTCACTCATTCAAAAATTTATTGAGCAGCTAGTACATGTCAGATACTCTGCAATTGTTCATGACACAAAGCTAAGTAAGAAATGAGTGATACAATTTAGCAAAGGGAAATAAAAGTTAAGTGAAACAAATAGAAAATGATAGAAGTCTATAGTAGTGGTAAGGAGCCGTCACAGAAGAGAGGGGGGTGATTAATTCTATTTGGGTGGGGAATTTAGGTCAGGAAAGGCAAACATGCAATTAGAACCAATAAACACTGAATGTATACAATGGATCAAACATTATGCCGGGTGCTAGAACAAAGATAAAATACCATGGAAATTAGTAATACACACCCCAATTTTCTTTTTCTTTACCAAAACCCCAAATCATGCTCCTGATTTTGATGTGAAGGTCTGGTTCTCAGATGATTGGGTTTTGTCATTGCTAAGTGAGGGGTCCTCTGAAAGAGTGGGGCGGTAGGAGCTCACATCAGCCAGCCATTCTCACCCCAGGTAGAAGTGCTGTCTGTGGTGGCTCAGCAGATCCTCAGCATTCAACAAGCCATCATTCGGAAGCTAAAGACATTCATCTTTGAAGGCACTGAGCTCTCTCTAAACCCGACCTGTGCTGTCTTCATCACCATGAACCCCGGGTATGCTGGCAGGGCTGAGCTGCCAGATAACCTCAAGGTAAACATCAGCGTGTGTAAATTCTGCATGTACTTTATGGTATAGAAACCTCTAGAAGTGGGCACCTGGGTGGCTCAGTCGTTAGGCGTCTGCCTTCGGCTCAGGTCATGATCCCGGAGTCCCGGGATCGAGTCCCACGTCGGGCTCCCTGCTTGGCGGGAAGCCTGCTTCTCCCTCTCCCACTCCCCCTGCTTGTGTTCCTGCTCTCGCTCTCTCTCTCTCTGTCAAATAAAAAAAAAATAAAAAATAAAAAAAAACCTCTAGAAGTAACCAAGGATCTCCCGGAGAAGGCAAATAATGGGTGACATTTTTTTGGCTGTGAGAAGTAATAGTGGAGCAACGATGGTGGTAAGATAGGCCCCAGAACATAACTACACCCCCAACAAGGTCTCATAGGAAGGAGTACATATACTTGATGAACCATGGCAATTAGGAAACAGCGGACCCTGGAACAAGAGTCACTGTTTCTATCGTCTACAAGGGGTCAGACAGGTAATATAAATGAGAGGAACCAGCTGGGCATGGTAGGGACTCTGACGAATGCCCCATCCAGAGGCAGCAGCCCCTACTTAGCCCCAGCCTGTTGTCGCCAAGCAGGAATTGTCAGGTCTTCTGATTTTTCAGGAAAAACCAGAAATTTGTATTTCTACATGTAATCTGATTTTGTGATCCTGGCTCAATGCAAAAAAAAAAAAAAAAAAATCACTGTAGGCCAAACAAAAACATCTAATTATAAGACAGCATCAAAGTTAGACACAGAGAGCTCTGGGAAGCCTGGGCTGAACCGGCAGCACTTGGGTGGCTCAGGTCGTGATCTCAGGGTCCTGGGATTGAGCCCCATGTTGGGTTCCCTGCTCAATCGGGAGCCTGCTTCTCCCTCTCCCTCTGCCCCTCTCCCTGCTTGTGCTGTCTGTCTCTCTCAAATAAATGAATAAAATATTAAAAAATAAAATAAAAACAAAAAACCTAGGCTGAACCACATAGAGCTCCCCTTTATTACTATGGTTAAGCCGAGGTGGTGTCCTCACCAAAGCAGGCTGTTCCAACCAGCCACAGAGATGACAAGGAAGCATATATGTCCCCAGTGCCTACTGCTGAGCTGGCCTCAGTTACAGCATGGCAATAGCCATTGGTCCTGCTGCTAGTGGAGAAGGACAGCACCTCTGAAGGGAAGAGAGACAGTCACCAAGGCCATCTTCAAGGGAATAGGCTGTAGATGACCTTAGCATGCTGCTCTCATGGGAGGAAAAACCCCAAAGTACAAGATGGCTAGCTCTCCTCCTGTGGGAAGAAACTTGAGCACCCCAATTGCGTGAAAAGAGGTACCAGAGAGAGACTTCCAGGTCTGCTTCTTTATGGATTTTCTTCTAAGTCATTGCTCCATCCCTTTGAGTGGAAGACGCAAGAGAGACCCAGCCAAACCAAATTAGTACTTCACCTGCCAGAAACGCATCTGCTTAGTGCTCTGGAATCTTATTCAGACACTTTCTCCCCACCCACCAAATGGAAAAGAGTCAGGGAGATCTTAGGAATGGCTCCTCCCCTCCAGGCCAGCATAGGCCAGTGAGTACCAAAGTAGAATTTGGACCCACATTTCTTCTTTTTACCCCCAACCACTGTGACTCCCCCCTACACACACACCCCTCCCAGCCAACAAGCCTGTTAGGTCTGCATAAGCAGCTTTCATGAGACAGTGTGGTATAGGAGAAAGCACCAGGGGCTGGTGTCAGGGAGCCTGGGTCTAGTCCTGGCTCTACTTCTAACTAACTGCTTGACTCCTCCTCTAAGATCTAAGGTAATAACAATAGCTGATGTTTATTGAGCACTCACTATGTGCCACACACTTTTCTTTTTTTTTTTTAAAGATTTTATTTATTCATTTATTTGAGAGAGTGAGAGAGAGAGAGCACATGAGAGGGGGGAAGGTCAGAGGGAGAAGCAGACTCCCTGCCGAGCAGGGAGCCCGATGCGGGACTCGATCCCGGGACTCCAGGATCATGACCTGAGCCAAAGGCAGTCGCTTAACCAACTGAGCCACCCAGGCACCCGCCACACACTTTTCTAAGCGCTTCACTTACATGGTATCATTTGTTCTCATGAGAACGGTATGGTTGTTGGCCCATTTTGAGATGAAAGAACTAGAGGGCTTACATTACTTGCCCATAGCCAGTAGGTAGCAGAGCAAGGACACAAATCAAGATCTGTCTGACTTCAAGATTCTTTTTTTTTTTTTTAAAGATTTTATTTATTTATTTGAGAGAGAGAATGAGAGACAGCACAAGAGGGAAGAGGGTCAGAGGGAGAAGCAGACCCCCCGCTGAGCAGGGAGCCCGATGTGGGACTTGATCCCGGGACTCCAGGATCATGACCTGAGCCGAAGGCAGTCGCTTAACCAACTGAGCCACCCAGGCGCCCTGACTTCAAGATTCTTCTGATACATTATTGGTCCTGCATTCCTAACTGACTTCCTCGGTCCCTGTTGAACACAGGAAGGGCCCAATAGTTGAATGATGCTCCTTTGGCATAGGAGAATGAGGTGTTGTTAGAATACCAGCACCTAGGGCCTTCCACATAACCACTGAGAGACCCAGTGTGACAACAGGTACCTAGACAGGGCCAATGGGGAGGTTAGCAGAGCACTGGTTCTATCCAACAAAGATGGTCCCTCTGCATTGACTTGTCCTCCCACTTTCCTTTCCTTGATTTCACTAGAATGCCTGAACAACCATTGCTGCTTCTCTTTGTGTCTGTAGACATACCTTCCCCCCAGTGTTTACTGTATGTGTTCAGGTTCTCAATGGCCATTTCTTTTCCAGGCCTTATTCCGGACAGTAGCCATGATGGTGCCAGATTATGCCCTCATTGGGGAAATCTCCCTCTACTCCATGGGGTTTCTGGACTCTAGAAGGTATGTTACATTGGCTTTCCAGTAGATTCTAAAGGCTCTGAAAGAGTACCTTCTGTGTGGTGGATTCAAGGTAGATTGCCCATTGGAAGAAAAGAGAGAAACTTGAGAAATGGACTTCCATTCCCTAGTTGATCTGAAAGCACATAGCCCTGGCTTTTGTCCTAACCCCATCCTTGGCCAGGAAATGGCCCAGATTCCGAAGAAAGGGCCTCCTCTCTCTCTGTGTATACTTGGACTTCTGCTAAAGAAATTGGCCTTTCTATCCCAGCCCTGCTACACACACACGCACACACACAGCTTAAGGCAAGACTTTAAAATATGAAATTATTCCAAGATTGAAGAGGAAAAGTTTAATATAATTTGGAATTAACATTATTATCATAACATTTACTGACTGAAAAATGTAAAGCATGGACATGGAAAAAAGTTGTCATGTTACAGAAGTGAATAAAGGGAGTTTCTTCTCAGTGGCCTTGAGTCCCACTCTCTGGGGATTAACATTGTTAATAGTTTAATGTTTCTTCCCAAACGTGTGTGTGTGTGTGTACTCATACATTCACATTTATGCATAGAAGTATTACACATATAATTTCTTGTACAGTAGCTTGTATACATATGTGTCTATTCCTGCTCTTTTCCTCCTAACTTTGAAAGAGTTAGAATGCTTCCTTAGCTCATCATGGTAACTATTAAAAGGACTTCAAATGATAGGGCTTCTCCATCAAGTCCATGAGCAGGCCTGGTTCTTGATGGGACAGGGCACAGGGATGCTGGGAATGTCTGCTGAGCAGGACCTGCTCCTCTCTGGCGGTCTGCAGATGTGTCTCTGCCCTCCTAGTCTTGCCCAGAAGATTGTCGCGACCTACCGCCTGTGCTCAGAGCAGCTGTCCTCACAGCATCACTATGACTATGGCATGCGGGCGGTCAAGTCTGTGCTCACTGCCGCTGGCAACCTGAAGCTCAAGTATCCTGAAGAGAATGAAAGTGTCCTGTTGCTCCGGGCCTTGCTTGATGTCAACCTGGCCAAGTTCTTGGCTCAAGATGTCCCTCTGTTTCAGGTATGCGGTGCTTTGGGACCTCAACCAAGCGCTGAGACTCATTTTCTGTGGATGAACTGTTTCTCTGGCACCCTCTTCATCTCCAGCCAGCAACCCCACCACCAGACACCCTCCCCCAAATGTTAGATAAGAATAGTGATAGTTCCTGATTTTAATAAAAATGGTTTCACTGATAGAATAAGATCTGCCATTGGGTTTGGGTTTTTGTTTTAACCAAATGTAGTTTTGGGGTTTTTTTTGTAATTATTTTAATGGCTCTCTTCCTAATCAGGCTGGGAGCTCCATAAATACAGAAATCATGACTATCTTATTCATTCCCAGTACATTAACTGGTAGATAATACAGGCTTATTAAATCTTTGCTGCCTTGTAAATTTATTTGGGTGGGATAGTGTTGGACTTTGTAATTGTGGATGTCTTACAGATAGTGTTGGACTTTGTAATTGTGGATGAGTTTTGGCATAGAAAAATGAGGTTTGGAATTTTACAAAGATTTCTGCTGTCTGTAAATCTCATTTTCAGAAAATGTTGAGGTCATGCCTCTGACAATTTATCCTTTCCACCTTCTCTCGAATTCTTGTTAACAGGGAATTATATCAGACTTGTTTCCTGGAGTGGTTCTTCCAAAGCCAGACTATGAAGTTTTTATGGAAGTGCTGAATGAGAATATCAAAAAGATGAAACTCCAACCAGTGCCTTGGTTTATTGGGAAAATTATCCAGGTTGGTTCCATGTATCCATACAGGGATGCGCCTGTTTGTTCACTCAAGTCAGGAATTGGAATTGTGGTAGATTGCAGCTCAGTAATGGTGACCAGAGGTGCCTGGATAGAGACGGAGGTGCCTTCAGGTCTCACTTCCAGGAGCTGAAGTTGAAATTCATTGTTTTCCTCCAACCATCTCCCTTGGGGTTCCTTTTTTTAAATTTGTGGATGAAACAAAACCTTTGGGGGGCATTGGGCTACAACTAGTCAGGACTTTCTCAGTTTCCAGTGATAGAAACCCAACTCAAACCGCCTTAGTCAACAGAAGGGGATCTGTTCACTTACCTAACTTGAAAAGCCCAGGTGTATGTTGACCTCAGACACAGCCGGATCTGAGAACCTTTCTCTTCATTTCTGGGCTCTGTCTCTGAGTTACAACTTCATTCTTGGTTGGGTCCCCAACAGCCTCAGTCTTTGATTGTCCCAGGTTCAAGCCCAGAAGGAAAAAGAGCATTGCTCTCCAGATGGCTTCAGCATAGGTCTCAGGATTAGCTTTGAACTGTGCTGTAAAGCCACATGACCACCCCGGAACCAATTATGGGGAAGATCATCTGTATTTCACAGCATGGGGCCTGGCTTGGAAAATACCTTTTACCTGCTGAGAGTTCTAATCAAGTTAGAACTGCATTTAGGCCTTGAAAAAGGAAGTTTCCAATTTAAGTACAATTTGCTAAAAATGACCGCTGTTTCCTTTTCCCCTTTAAAAGCAAATAGAAAAAATCAGAGGCATTAAAGTCAGACAGCCATGTGTCCAAATCCTGCCCCCACCACTGATGACCATGGGCAAGTTACTTAACCTCTCTTGGGCTCAGTATTTCCACCACTAGAAGGTGGTTAATGATACCTAAGTGTATTAAATGAAAAAATTAGGTAAGTCACTTGATGCTTAGCACATTGGTAGGTATAGAGCAAATAGGAGTTCCCATTTTTTAAATAATATGAAACATACACATATATTTATTTATCCGAAAGATATTTATTTATTTATTTATTTATTTATTTATTTATTTGAGAGAGAGCGTGCAAGTGAGGGTATGGAGGGGCAGAGGGAGAGAATCTTAGGCAGGCTCCATGCCTAGCACAGAGCCAGATGCAGGGCTCAATCTCTCAACCCTGAAATCATGACCTGAGCCAAAATCAGGAGTCAGACACTTAACCAACTGAGCCACCCAGGTGCCCCTATCCAAAAGATATTTACACTATAGATCATCAGAGGTAGAAGTGACTGTGGGAATCCCCTTTTTGTCCCTCATTCCTCATTGACTTCTGACTAGCTTGCAGTTCGAGGAGGTTTGCAGTGATTAACTGCTTAAAATGATGTCTCCTCCCAGATCTACGAGATGATGCTGGTAAGACATGGCTATATGATTGTTGGAGACCCCATGGGTGGCAAGACCTGTGCTTATAAAGTGTTGGCTGCAGCTCTGGGTGATTTATACGAAGGTAAAGCTCACATCCGTGGCTTCTGGGGAGCACAGGACTCCCCAGTAGGTTGGCTGGCTCCATGGAGATAATGCCAGGCTGTTAGTTTTGCCATCCCTGGATTGTGACATCAGAGCCAGAAATAGAACATGGCACACAGATGTCTGCAGGCAGAAAATAAAGGTGGGGGAGGGAGCTTCTAACGGGGATTTTATGTGCATGTTATTAAGTGGAGGAATTTTCTCGAATTTCTCAAATGCCGAATAGTGGCTTCTCCAAAGGCTTTCCAATGAGAGAGAAAGTCCTGCCACTGTCCTGAACCAATTATTCTGAAAGCCAATTATTGCATGGTTTCTTTTCTTCTTTTTTCTTTTCATCCCTTCTTCCCTTCTCTTCCCTTCCCTTCCCCCCTCCCTCCCCTTTCTTCTTCTCTCCCTCCTTCCCTTACTTCTCTTTCTCTCTCTCCCTCCTTCCCTTACTTCTCTCTCTCTCTCCCTCCTTCCCTCCCCTTCCTTCCTTCTTTCCTTCCTTCCTGCCTTCCTTCCTTCCTTCCTTCCATTTAATGTAGAAGATAAAACCTCAGATTTTTTAATCAGACACAGACCTTGGACAAATGACCAGACCTCTCTCAGCCTCTGTTTTCCCACCTGTGAAATGGGATTGTTGTGAGAATTAGATTATGCAGGAAAATAACCTAGCTCAGTTCCTGCTCAACAAATGGAAGCTATGTGTATTGCCAGAGAAACAATTTTGGGGTTTTTTCTTTTATAAAAAGTGAGCCTGTGGTGTTTGTTTGTTTTTAAGATTTATTTATTTATTTTAGAGAGAGAGAGAGAGAGTGGAGTGGAGAGGGAGAGGGAGAGAACCCCAAGCAGACTCGGTGCTGAGCCTGACGCAGGGCTTGATTTCAAGACCTTGAGATAAGGACCTGAGTTGAAACCAAGAGTCAGATGCTGAACCAACTGTGCCACCCAGGCGCCCCACAAGCTTGTGGTTTTGAAAAGCAATGCCTTCTATTTACACATTCCCTTCCAGTACTTCATCTTAACACATTTTTTCTAATAATATTTGTTGATTGAGTTGCTGTTGGATTTTTTAGGTTTTTTGTTTTGGAGACTAACTTGGCCCTCGTAACTAATTAGGGCATTTCAAACTTAATATTCTGGTCATTTGAACACAGTTTAGGAAATTAAACAAAGAGAAAAGAGGCTACCCCATTGTTTTTGCCTTGGGATTGTGCAGAAATTGTTATTTAGTTCATGGCTCAGGCACTCCAACTTTTCTTACTTTGAAGGATCATTTAAAAGCCTGGTTATTTTCAGTTCTGTTATCAAATGCACCTGATGTCCCATCTATCGGCCTTCGTTGGGTCCTAGTACTCTCATGGTGTGAATGTCTCCAAGGGGCCACTTGCTGAACAGCTAAAGAAGAGGTTTCAGGACTAAACTAGTCCTTCAGATAGAGGGAAAAAAAAGTAACCAGTATTTTGCAGAATCTTCTAAATGTCAGCTGTTTCCTCATTTCAAGTCAAGGCCAAGGTTCTTAGGGTAGCCGTGAGAGCCGGTACATAAAGACACCTGGTAGCATGGACCTCTCTCCCTTACTGCTTGAGTTCATTTAGGCCCAGGCAGATCTTTGGATCTGACCAGCACATTTGCCCTGTTTGAAATGAGACTCAGAAGAAAATATGGTGAGAAACTAATGGGCATAATAACCTAATAGTTTAAGTCATTGTCCATCCAGATATCCTAATCTTTGTAAGGACTGAGTACAAATTTTATAAGGATTCTCCTTGGAGGGCATATTCATGAATGTTGGTCTTTGAGATGGCATTATCTCTTGTCTAATGTTCTGGTCTCAACGGAGCCTTTGTAACTCATGTTGGACCTTCTTGCCCAGCCAAACAGATGGAAGAATTTGCTGTGGAGTACAGGATCATCAACCCCAAGGCCATCACCATGGGGCAGCTCTATGGGTGCTTTGACCAAGTGAGCCATGAATGGACAGATGGTATCCTCGCCAATGCTTTCCGGGAGCAAGCATCTTCAATGTCTGATGAACGCAAGTGGATTATATTTGATGGGCCAGTAGATGCTGTTTGGATTGAAAATATGAACACAGTTCTGGATGACAATAAAAAGGTACTACTGAGTCTCATATCACTTTTACATAGGTAGAGTATAAATCCTCTTATTCAAGTGAGTAATTGACCAAAACTATATAATACATACATTCACTACACTAAGAATAAATGCCCCATAAGAAAGTAACAGCTTATGAATTATGCTTCCATTTGTACTTGTAGTGGGTAAACTATGTGTATTTAGGGATAATGTTGCATCGTGGTTAAAAGCCTTGGTGTTGGCGTCTTACTGGACCACTAGCTCTAGAATTGAGCTCTTGTATTGGGCAAGTCACATAACTTCTCTGAACCGCAATTTCCTCATTTGTAAAAAGGTAGTAATGAAACAGGGATGTTGGCAATTAAAGAAGTAGCACATACATAGTGCATGATATGTGGAATGTGTTTTGGTTATCCATTGCTGTGTACTTAGAGACTTAAAACAACCATTTACTTTGCTCATGATACTGTGGATTATAAATTTTGGAAGGTCTCAGCTGGGCTCAGCTAATCATCGTGATGTCAGGAGGGCAGCCGTGGCTGGAGGATCCACACCCAAGGTGGCTTCCTCCCTCAGTGCCTGGGGGCTCATTCCTCCTTGACCTGTCTCTCTTTGTCTCTTTCTCTTCAGATAGTGTCTCATCCTCCAGGCCTCTCTAGGAGGCTTGGGTGTCTCAGTGAGCTTGGAGTAGTGGCACTTCTTACATGGTGGTTACTTTTCCAAAAGGCAGGAAGTGACAGTTTCCAGGAAATTAAGAGCTGTGCTTGGAACTGGTGTAGCCTCACTTTCTCTCAATTCCATGAGTCCAAGAAGTCACAGGGGCTGCCCAGATTCAAGGGAGTGGGGAGAGAGGCTCCACTTGATGGAGTGGGGACAAGGCCACTTTGCGAAAACACATACAGGATGGGAGCTATCTCTGTAGCAGTATCCACAAAATGGAAAATACATTTTGCCCCAGTAAGCATAGTGCCTAAAGAGCTTGGACTCCAGAGCCGGACAGCCTGGGTTCAAACCCTGCACTGCCACTTGCCAACTGAATGAACCCAGGCAAGCTATTCAGTTTCATCATCTGTAAAATGGGGACAATATTGTCTACATCATAGTGTTAATCGGGAAGATGAGATAAGTTAATATTCACAAGATGCTTCTAATAGCACCTGGGGTAGAACAAGTGTTATCTTACTGTAGGTTAGAATAAAATAAAATTTATCACCATGTTAAGGAAGAGTTTCTACACTGAATATACATGATTATCAAATCAAAATATACTTTCCTACTGCATTAAAATTTCACAAGACTATGAGTCATGCTCAACAATGGAAGGCCTAATTATCCAAATTACACATTATATACGCACACTAATTATAGCACGTGCGTAATTTTGATTACATAACATATAAAAATAGAAATGTTTTATTACATGATATAGGCTATGTTATATAAGCTAATTGTACAAATGTACTTGTTGGTCTTGAGATTAATTATAAAGAGTCATGATCAGGGGCACCTGGGTGGCTCAGTCGTTAAGCATCTACATTCAGCTCAGGTCATGATCCCAGGCTCCTGGGATCGAGCCCCGCATCGCATCGGGCTCCTTGCTCAGCGGGGAGTCTGCTTCTCTCTCTGCCACTCTCCCTCACGCTCTTTCTCTCTCAAATAAAATAAGTAAAATCTTAAAAAAAAAAAAAAAGAGTCATGATCAGTGAATTTCCTGATGACTTCTCATCCCTGGGTGTAAATCGAACTACTATCAGAGGTACGGGTGTCTTTTACTTTTCTTGATATTCAGAGATGGCACTATTGGTGGTGTCAGCCCATAACAGCCATGACCTTCCTGGAGATACATGTAGTGACCTGTTTCCACTTGTGTTTTATGTAGGCCAGGTAACGTACGAGGGGCTTTTTAAGCACAACTTTGGGTGAGCAGCAGGGAGTGATGTGGTTTTCTCTTTGCCCCTGAGAGACCAAAGCTTCAGACAATCTTATGTCTTAACTATCTCACTTGAACCCCTGTTGGCAAGTGGGAAACAGCATCACTAACTTTGTACGTACACTGACTCTGCCCTATGTATTTTGCGCTACTTTCTACAGGGACATACCTACTAAACACTAGGACTTCTGATGGCCTTTCCTTCCTTTCCAGAAAGGATTTGTGAAGATGTTCTTGTCCCTCTAGCCCTGCACCCATCCATGAGGGATTCCAAAAGGAGTCTTTCATGGGAAACAAGCAAATAAAACAGGAAGAAGGTGTGCAGTTAAGTTCTATGTGAAACACTGAGTAAGAACTATGAGACTTGCTGTAGTCTCATAGCTTCCTGATCTTCCATCTAAGGCTGCAATTCAATGACTCTCTGACCTCCCTATTTATTTATTTTAATATTTTTTTTTGAGAGAGAGAGAGTGCACGCTTGAGCAGCTGGGGGGACGGTGCAGAGGGAGGGGGAGAGAGAGAATCCCAAGCAGGCTCCATGCCCAGCGTGGAGAGATCATGACCTGAGCTGAAGTCAAGAGTCAGACGCTTGGAGCACCTGGGTGGCTCAGTCGGTTAAGCGGTTAAGCATCTGCCTTCGGCTCAGGTCATGATCCCAGGGTCCTGGGATCGAGCCCCACATTGGGCTCCCTGCTCAGTGGAGGTCTACTTCTTCCTCTCCTTCCTGCTCATGCTCTCTCTCGCTGTCTCTATCTCTCTGTCTCTCAAATAAATAAATAAAATCTTTAAAAAAAAGAGTCAGACGCTTGACTGACTCAACCACCCAGGCGCCTGCCAACCTCCTTATTTAAAATCACAACTCACCCAGCCTGGCTGAGCATTCTCCAGCCTCCTCTTCTATTTAATTTGTCTCCAAAGCACTTTCATCGTTTTATATGCTGTGTGTTTTGTTTATCATCTGTTTCCTCCCAGCAGAATGTAAATCCCAAGAGCACAGGGATTTTTGTCTGTTTTATTTTATGCACCTGTGCCTGACACATAGTTGGTGCTCAAGAAGTATTTGTTGAATGAATTTAAACCATCTCTGTCCGCGCTGAGGCCTTTCACTTTCAGATGGAATTTAACCCCTTTGCCTGACACCCCCACCTCTGCTTTGCACTTTCAGCTGTGTTTAATGAGTGGAGAAATTATCCAGATGAGCCCCAAGATGAGTCTGATCTTTGAGCCAGCAGACCTGGAGCAGGCCTCTCCGGCCACTGTGAGCAGGTCAGTCAGCCTTGCCCTGGCACCCTGAGGGAACACGTGGCCTCACTGACCCTAAAAACCCACAAATGTGATTAAGCCCTAGCAGATCACCTACATTATTTGTCGTCCCTCCGATTTATCCTAAAACCAGTCCTCAATCCACAGGGCGGATAAGAGTCTAAAATCAGGCAAGCACTTTGGAAAGGAATCTGACATTATTGCCTAAGACTGAACCTTCATATGCCTCATGACCAGCAACTCTACTTCTAAGAAATCTTTGTCCACGTGCAATAAAATTCACATACAAGAATTTTCAGAGTGGCATAGTTAACAATAACAAACACTTGGAAACAACCCAAATGCCGATTAACAGGAGTGAATGCATGTGTAATAAAGTCACAAATTATAATTTTTTATCATTTGATTTTATTCTATTTTATTTTCATCATGATAAGTGCACTCCTTAATCCCCATCACCTATTTCACCCATCCCCCAGCTACCTCCCCTCTGGTAACCATCGGTTTGTTCTCTATAGTTCAGAGTTTGTCTCTTGGTTTGCCTCTCTCTTTCTTTTTCTTTTTTCCTTTGCTCATTTGTTTCTTAAATTCCACATATGAGTGAAATCATATGGTATTTGTCTTTCTCTGACTGACTTATTTCGCTTAGCATAATATCCCCTAGCTCCATCCATGTCGTTGCAAATGGCAAAATTTCATTCTTTTTATGGTTGAGTAATATTCCATTGTATAGATATATCACATCTTCTTTATCCGTTTATCTATGGGTTGCTTCCATAATATGGCTATTGTAAAAATACTGCAATAAACATAGGGGTGCATGTATCCTTTTGAATGAGCATTTTTGTAGCAAATTATAATATTTATATATCACTCAAAATAAATGAATTGTACTGACATGGAACTCTATGCATAAATCTTATTAAATACATTAAGTATAAAATCTTAGCAATATTATATATGAAGTAAGCCCACAATATTCATACAACATAGTGTCTCCCTTTAAACCTCTAAAAACAACAAAAATAAATATATATACATTTTAGGAACATATAGAAATGATATAAAACTATGTGAGAAAGAAAGAAAGAGATGGGTAACCATGAGATCGGGAGACCATTGGGGTTAGATGAAGGTTATTGTCAAGATCCAAGCTTCTGTCTGGGATCTTGGGTTCTGGGAGGTGGGTTCATGGGCACTCACTACATTATTGAAAACAATTAACTAAGAAAGGCCATGCATGGGCTAATGATAGTGTGCCAAGGATGATAATTAATCTAATCCTGTGCACCTGAAGTTCTTAAAAAAAAGAAAATCAGTCCACACTCCAAAAAGCAATGTCAGGGAGTAGAAAGAGCAATGGCAAGTTAGACCAACTTGGGCTCCCACCCTGGCCATGCCAATGTGTAGCTGTGTTACCTCTTCCAAGTCACTCAGCCTCTCTGAGCCACACTCTCCTCATATCTAAAATGTGACCATTAAGAAGAATATTTAGAGATAAAGGCCATTAGGCCCTAGCATAGTGCCTGACATGCAGTAGATACTCAATAAATGGCAGCCGTATTAGTAACAAACAAGAGAGCACCTAGATGTAACAGAATGGGGAAAAAAAAAACCCAAAAAAAAACATGGACTATATAAAATATCAGTACATGCTAATGGTAATTTGAATAATTTCCATGGATTAAGAGTTTTCTCTGTCCTGGAAATGGTGCTGAATTATTTATGGGCATTTTCTTATTTAACCACTATAATAGTCTTATGAACTATGTATTTTTTATATTTCTTGATTTATGACAAGGACATAGAATTTCAGAGACAATAAAGAAACCTTGCCCAGGGTTACTCAGATAGTAGAATCTAGGGCAGGAATTTGAACCCAGGTCTCTCTAACTCCCAAGCGTCAGCTATTATCACTGGTCTCCATCCTTTCCTGACAAAATCTGGGTACCTTCCCTTTGGACTGGAGCTGGTGAGGGTCTGTGCCCCAACCCAAACTCCAGCCCCTTACCTTACCATGACTGCCTGCATTTCCCTCACCCCTGCGTGCTTGGGAACCCAATGTGGACCAAGCTGGTCCTCTCTTTGTGCTTGCCAGGTGTGGGATGATCTACATGGAGCCCCATCAACTAGGCTGGAAACCCTTGAAGGACTCATACATGGACACCCTGCCCGCTAGCCTCACTGAGGAGCACAAGGAATTGGTGAGACCATCATGTTCTTTTCCTTCCCCTCCCTCCCTGTCTCCATACTCCTCATTGCTAAGACCTTCTAGGAACATCTTCACCTTCCTAATTCCAGGATGTAGGAAGGAGCAGGGAATTCCCTGCCTATCTCTAGTTATCTTCCTTCCTGGCTGCCTGACATTTTTCCAGCTTTCTTCTCCCTGTAGCAAGAATAGGATAGTATGGAGGCACCTGGGGGGCTCAGATGGTTGAGCGTCTGCCTTCGGCTTGGGTCATGATCTCCGGGTCCTGGGATGGAGTCCCACACCGGGGTCCTGGCTGGCTCAGCGGGGAGTCTGCTTCTCCCTTTGTCTCTACCCCTGCTTGTGTGCTGTCTCTCTCTCAAATGAAAAAATAAAATCTTAAAAAAAAAAAGAATGGGATAGTATGGTCATTTTCTCCTTCTACCTTCTCCATCACTCCCCATCTCCCCAGTGGAGAATTCTGATGCTTGAGAAACATTCTACATGGTGGATGGAATGTCATACCTTTCCCCATTGCCCTACTTGCAGAAATGTCTCTAGAAGTTGCTCTAAAGGTAGGGCCAGATTAGAAAGAGCTGTCTTCCTCTCTGTACTGCCACTCCCCATCCTGGTGACCTCAACTCCATACCTCCCATAGCTAGGGAGCTGGAACCAGTTTAGGAAAGTTGTATTGCGGCTACTAAGAGTGCCTGTCCCTTCTTCCCTTCCTAAAAGAGGGGTAAACATTCAGGTTAGGTGGGTACCCAAGCATAGTCTCACACTAGGGAAGCAGGAAGGGAGAACTGAGGCTTTTGGTGCCTCTTGTCTTTCCCTGTGTTAGTAGAGTGCCCTAGGAAAGTTCCCCACTGAAGAAGGCAAAAAAAGTATAGTTGAGTTCTCTTCCCACTGCAGAAACATTCCGGTGAGCTATGGCCCCTTTCCTGTCCCATTTATATACATGTACAATGTATATAATCACATACATTTATACAGATAGATGCCCACATGCACATCCACAGACCAATCTACGCATCTGCACAGGAAGCCTTCAGGGACTCCTCAGTGCCCTTAGCTCAAAGTCTAACTTCCTTTTTTTTTTTTGTAAAGATTTTATTTGAGGGGCTCCTGGGTGGCTCAGTCAGTTAAGTGTCTGCCTTCAGCTCAGACCATGATCCCAGGCTCCTGGGATCGAGCCCCGCATTGGGCTCCCTGCTCAGCGGGAAGCCTGCTTCTCCCTCTCCCTCTGCTCCTCCCCCCACTCATGCTGTCCCTCTTTCTCTCTTTATCTCTCACTTACTCTCTCATTCAAGAAATAAAGAAATAAAATCTCAAGAAAGATTTTATTTATTTGAGAGAGAGCATGAATGGGGGGAGGGGCAGAGAGAGAGAGAAAAAGAGAGAAGCAGACTCCGTGCTGAGCACAGAGCCCGATGGAGGGCTTCATCCCACAACTCCGAGATCATGACCTGAGCCAAAATCAAGAGTCAGATGCCTAACCACCTGAGCCACCTAGGTGCCCCTGAAAGTCTAACTTCTTATCAGGGCCTCTGAGGCTGTGATCTGGCCCTGCCCACCTTTCCAACCTCATCACCTACCCCCCTCCTCAGCTCATTACCCTGCAGCCCTTGTGTTCTGTTCCCATTCCTGGAAGAACCCAGGTTTCATTACCTCAAGGCTTTTGCACCTTTTCTTCCTCCTCCTGAAAATGTTGTCCCATTTTATTGTGTGAGAGATGATTCACCTTCATCATCCAGGTCTCAACATAAAGGCCTCCTCCTCTAAGAAGCCTTCCCTGACCACCCTATTAAATGCTTCCTGTTATTCCCCATTTTAACACCTTTGTTTGTTTCCTGCTAGTACTTTACATGACTTGTAAGTATTTTATTTCCTTGCTTGTTTAGTTGTTTATTGTTTGTCTCCCCTGCCCCTCAGTAATCTCCATGAGGGCAGGGATCTTGTCTATCTTGTCACCTGTTTATTCTCAGCACCTACAACACTGCAGTTACTAGATGCTCAATAAATATTTGTTGGCTGGATGAATATACCACATATCCATGTATACATATATATTCATATATACATAAATGTGTCTATACATTTATAATATAGATATGTATCCACATATATACAGATCTATTAATGTATTTATTTAGTGATGACCTGCCTACTTCTTAAAAAAATGACTTAAGATGATTTACAGTGACAGCTACAAATACAGTATAACAGAAATGAAAAAACACTCGAGGAGAAAGGAGGAATTTTTTAAAAAGAATAACTGGGGTGGGGAGCAGAGACAAGAATCATTATACCCACAAGTAAGGACATACAGAGAATTACTGAAAATGAGCCCCAAACTTAGCTCTGCACTTCCTGTGGCCACTTTATACAGGAGTCCAGCCTTACAAATGAAGAACAGTCATTTGAAAATCTTACTTAGAATTCCTAACATTTTTTGTACAAACAAGTGGGACACCAAGTCTGAGTGCTTAAATTTTTCATGCATCTTGTAGCTGACCCACAGTAGGTCCAAGCCTCTCTGAGTATCCAGCTCTGGGCAGTGAAATGGGAGGGGTGGGGATGGCCTGTGGGCTGCACAGTCCATTAAGTAGGAAGCTAGAGTCAGAGGCCTTGGTGCCTATGGTCTTTTCCGCGATATACTTACACTCAAAATTAATCAGCAACCTTACCAGCATCTCCAGCCTTCCAGAGGTGTACCAAGCCCTTGGTCTTAAACTCATTTTTTTGATAACATCTCTTCAAATTTCATTTCTACCTTCAGGTCAATGACATGTTCATGTGGCTCCTCCAGCCCTGCCTGGAATTTATTCGCCTTCAGTGTAAATTTGTGGTCCAAACATCTCCCATCCACCTTGCCTTCTCAATGATGAGACTGTATTCCTCCCTGTTCGGTACGTGCTACTTACAATTCTTTTTTTTTTTTATTAACATAAAATGTATTATTTGTTTCAGGGGCACAGGTCTGTGATTCATCAATCTTACACAACTCACAGTGCTCACCATAGTACATACCCTCCCTAATGTCCATCACCCGGCCACCCCAACCCTCCTGCCCCCCTCCACTCCAGCAACCCTCAGTTTGTGTCTGAGATTAAGAGCCTCTTATGGTTTGTCTCCCTCTCTGGTTTTGTCTTGTTTCATTTTTCCCTCCCTTCCCCTATGATCCTCTGTCTTGTTTCTCAAATTCCTCATATCAGTGAGATCATATGATACTTTCTTTCTCTGATTGACTTATTTTGTTTAGCATAATACCCTCTAGTTCCATCCATGTCATTGCAAATGGCAAGATTTCATTTTTTGATGGCTGCATAATATTCCATTTTATATATATACCACATCTTCTTTATCCATTCATCTGTTGATGGACATCTTGGCTCTCTCCATAGTTTGGCTATTGTGGACATTGCTGCTATAAACATTGGGGTGCATGTGCCCCTTCACGTGCTACCTACAATTCTTAAGCCAAATGAAGGTGAGGTAGGTGTTGGATATTTCTTCTGCTCCCCATCCCTTCTATTCCCCCCACAACGAGACCAGAATTTTGGTCTAGAACAAGCAAGCGTTTGGAGTATAGATAGTAGAGTTTAGTGGAAAGAGTCCATATGTTTTGGCTTTACCCTTAATCTTGGATTGATTTCCTGGGTATTTTTATGCAGTTTACCCCATCCTTTCTCATGTTAGGTTCCTCATCCACACAATGGGAGTAATAATTTCTGTCCCTCTTTACCTAACTAGAATATCCTGGAGGGAAATGAATTTAGATAATACATGTGAATGTATCTGAGAAAAAAAGATCCTGGAAAAAAAAAAAAAGACTGCAAATTTTCCCATGCTAAGAAAACTTACAAGAATCTGAATTCACAAAATACATGGTTACACTATTAAGAGAACTGATTACATCAGTCTATAAAACTGGGGAACCTTCTCTAGGACATGGGAAGTACATAAATCATAGAACCATTTGTTTAATAGGCCTGGAGAAGTTCTCTGTAACTATCTCACATAAATCAAATTTCATTGAATTCTGTGGGAAATGACCAAAGATGTGTCGATTTGGAGCACTTTTATTGGATGCCATTTCTTTCTCAAGATGGCACATAATTCAAACTCAAGATGGATCTTCCTACAACTCCTCTTACATGAACATTTTCTCAGCATTATAGGTGCAGATAAAAAATATAACATGGTGAACAGTTGAGTGGAGACTTTCTTTGGCTATACATATTACATGATTTTCTGAAGTTAAAATTACAGGCCATTTTTTCAAAAGCACACTAACTGTATACAATGCCATATATTTGCATCATTAGTTGTAAATTTTTAGTATTTTCCCAAACTCTGTTTCCTGTCCTTGTGTAGTATCTCCTCCAGGAAGGAAGGCATCGTATGAGAAATGGACTCATTTTCCCCAACACTGAGTGACCTAATCTCTTGCCTTCCCAAATCTATAGCCATGAGTCCTTATCAGGAGTCCTGAAAGACACACTACTAAAACCCGAGGACTGGGTTCGAATGCATACATACCTGATTTCAGAGCTCTAACTTTTTACTCTGTCAATGCTAAAATGCAAGAACATGGTAACTATGATCAACAAGGCCTTAAGATAAGGAATAGTAAATACATTTTTTAGCCTTTTATTTAAAAATAATTTTAGACTTGCAAAAAAAATTGCTAAAAGCATATATTGAGTCACATATCCCTACACCTAGCTTCCTTTAACATTAACATCTTATATAACCAAGGCACAATGATCAGAATAAGAAAGTTAACATTGATACTATACACTATTAACTATACCACAGACTTTATTTGAATTTCACCAATTTTTCCTCAAATGTCCTTTTCTGTTCCAGGATCCAATTCATTCAGGGCGTCACATTTTTTTTTAATTGTTGTATCTCATTCACCTCTTCCCATCTATGACAGTTCTTCAGTCTTTCCTTGTCTTTTTTTTTTTTTTTTTTTGAGTAAGCTCTACACCCAACATGGGGCCTCATGACCCTGAGATCAAGAGTTGCATGCTCCACTGACTGAACCAGCTGGGTTCCCTTTTTCTAGCCTTTTATAACTTTGTCACTTGATAAATACTGGCCAGTTATTTTATAGAATGTCTCTCAATTTAAGTTTACCTCATGTTTTCTCATAATTAGATTAGGATTATGCATTTTCAGTAAGAATACCACAAAAGTGGTGATGCATCCTTCTCGGTGCATCATCGGGAGGTTCACGATGTTGATAGATCTTATGACTGGTGAAGCCTCTTTGTCAAAGTTAGTTTTGGCCAGAGCCACATTTCTCCACTGTAATGTTCTGGTTTTCCTTCATAATTAGTAAGTATTTTGGGGAAGATAATTTGAAACTATGAAAATATCCTATTTCTCCTAAAATTTTCACCCACTGATTTTTAACATCCATTGGTGGGTCTTGCCTACCACAAGTAGAACGGTGGCATTTGCCTAAAGTTAATTTTCCATTTCTATGTGTATTTCTTCTACATTTACTAATTAGAATTCTTCTGTAAGGAAGAGCTGTTCTTCCCTACTTATTAGCTAATTCAGTTATTTACTGATTAAAGTATGGACTCACTCACAGATGTTTATTTTATTCTATGGGTTATAATCCAATTCTGTAATTATTTTGTTCCTCAAATGTCTTCAGCCATTGAGAGCTCCTACAGGTTGGTTCCCATGTCCTTTCATAATTACAAAAAAAATTATAAAATATATACAAATATATATATTAAAAATATGTTAAAATATAAAATATATAAAAAATAAAAATAACAAAAGGGGCACCTGGGTGGCTCAGTTGGTTAAGTGTCTGACTCTTGATTTCAGCTCAGGTTTTAATCTCAGGGTCATGAGTTCAAGCCCTAAATTGGGCTCCATGCTGGGCATGGAGCCTACTTAAAAAATAGGAAAAAAATAGAAAAATTATTAAAAACTAACAAAAAGTATATGTGGATAAAGGATCTGGCAGGTGATGGCCACTCAGCCACTATCAGTCCCCTCCCCAGAGTCCTCACAGACAAGACCACCAAGTTTAATTGTTTAGATCTGTATATAAGCGGATATATGCAGCTTCTCCTGAGGTTCCTTTTTCTTGCGTTTAGATGAAATCAAGGAAATAGATGAGGAGGAAAGTGAATTACATGAAGGCCTGACAAGCCAACAGATCTTTCTCTGGCTGCAAGGGCTATTCCTCTTTGCTTTGGTGTGGACCGTGGCTGGCACCATCAATGCGGATAGCAGAAAGAAATTTGATCTGTTTTTCCGCAACCTGATCATGGGTATGGATGACAACAATCCAAGGCCCAAAAGCGTCAAACTCACCAAAAACAACATCTTTCCAGAAAGAGGTAACTTAGTACCTGTTTGTTATGTCTTGCTCTAATAATTTGGGTCATATTGTTCCAAATCCAACCAAAATGTGTGGTCCAAGTAAGGGCTTTACAAAGGCAGGGGGAGATTTTGTAGCTTGCCTGATTGGGTTCAGGTCTTCAGAGCTGACCCACATATGTAAGAGATGGACAGTTGTGAAGTCAGGGTCTTACGGGATGTTTTAACTATTATTTTCATTTAGAAAAGTTGATAAAACTTTTTTTTCAAAAATTACCCATAATTCCATCACTCAAACAGGCTCCAGGAGATAGAATGAGAAATATAGCACTTATGTTTTTCTTATTCCTTTCTAGTCCTGTTCTATGTGTTTACATTCATCATATCATGGTGATTATGACATTGTATTTATTGTAATTTTGTCATTGTACTCTAATATCATATTGAAATGTTTCCTTTTTTACCACATACATTATCTTCAAAATGTTCACTTTAATGACGATGCTATGTGTGACATCATTTATTAAAAGAAAGATTTTTTCTTTTAAGTAGCTTTTACTGTTTTTTTTCTTACCACCATAATAATATATAAAATTAAGAAAATAAAAACCAATGGTAATCCAAGTACCCAGAAATAATCACTTTTAATATTTTTTCTTCCAGTTTTTTTCTGTATTTCTGTACCAAAAAGAGCATCATACTATAAATGCTTTCCAAATAGCTTTACTTTTTGTGATTATAAAACAGTATATAAAGGGCCATGAAATAACTTCTGGAGTGATAGTAATGTATACATGGAGAGAGATTTGGTTTACACTAGGTAGGTGCATTTGTGAAAACTCAGTGAATATACACAAGATTTGTGCATTTCACTGTATGTAAATTTTATATTGAGAAAAAATATAAACAAATATTGAACAATAAATGATACAAATACTGAAGCTTATGGGGACGTGTATAGATGTATACACTTTGTATATACTTTGAAATCTGTCCAAAAAAATAAGATGGCTTAATGGATGGATAGAGGGACAAACAGGTATATGATAAAACAAGTAAAAACTAATGGTAAAAATCTAGGAGAGGGGTATACAAATGTTTGCTGTATGATGTTTTGAGTATTTATGTTTAAAACTTTATGTAATAATAATAAATGAATGAACAAGTAGGTTCACTACCCCTCTACACAGTCTTTCCTAAGCACATGTGGCACACTTGATGTGATATGGTCATCTGTCAGATGAACTATGTATAAGCCCCGGACCATTAGTTAGATAGTAGTACATTCTTTCTTTTTTCTTTCCTTTTTTAAAGATTTGTTTATTTTCTTTATTTGAGAGAGAGAGCAGAGCGGGGAGGGGCAGAGGGAGAGGGAGAGAGAAACCCAAGCAGACTCTGCCCTGAGCGGGGCTTGGTCTCACGACTCTGAGATCAGGACCTGAGCTAAAACCAAGAGTCAGGTGCCCCCCTTTTTTCTTTCTTTCTTCTTTTTCTCTTCCTCCTCCACTTCTTCCTTCATCTTTTACTTGTCCTTTGGTTTAGAAGATTATTTTCTATTGTGCTAAAATACGTGTAACATAAAAATTTACCATTTTAACCGATTTTAAGTATACAGTTCAGTGGTGTTACACATTGTTGTGCAATCATCACCACCATTTATCTCCAGAACTTTTTTCATCTTCACACACTAAAACTCCATGTTCTGTGAACACTAACTCCCCATTTCCCCCTCCCACTATCCCCCGGCAACAACCATTCTACTTTCAGTCTATCAATTTGACTACTCTAGGTACTTCATATAAGTAGAATCATATAGTATCTGTCCTTCTTTGACAAGTTTATTTCATTTAGTAATATCTTCAAAGTTTACACATGCTGTAGCATGTCAGAATTTCCTTCCTTTTTTAGGCCGAATAATATTCCATTGTGTGTATATACCACATTTTGTTTCTCTATTCATCTGTCAGTGGACACTTGAGTTGCTCTCACCTTTTGGCTATTGTGAATGATGCTGCTATAAACATGGGTGGACAAATATTTGCTTGAGTCTCTTGCTTTCGTTGCTTTTGGCTATATGCTCAAAAGTGGAATTTATAGATCATAAGATAGTTCTGTATTTAAGTTTGTGAGGAATTGCCACAATGTTTTCCATAATAGTTGCACCATTTTACATTCCCACCAGCAATGCACAAGAATTCCAATTTCTCCACATTCTCATGTATTGTTTTGTTCTGTTTCTTATAATAGCTACCCTGAGTGTGGAATGCATTCTTGATTTTTTTTAGAAAAAATATGAATAGATCATATAATAAAAAATATATATTTTTTTAAAAAGACAACCACTATTAACATTTTGATAACCATCGTGTTAGACATTTCCTTGTGCATATATGTACATATAGATTTATTTTTTCAAACATGGGATTGTTCTGCTCTTGTTTTCGTTATTTTCTGGTTTTTGCTATCATTAACAACATTGTGATGAACAGTGTTCTGGTGGCTACGTACTTGCTTAACCCATGATTATTTTCTTAGGATAATTCCCTAGAAATAAAATAGCTAAATCAAGGATCAATAAAATTTTAAAGATTTTGATTGTGAAATTTCCCCCTTGCCTTCACCATTCCTGAGTATTACCATTTTTAAAAATCTTGGGCAATTTGAAATGTGAAAACTCTATTTCATTTTAACTTTCTTCTTTTTGTAAAAAATATTTTGATAGACTTTAATTTTAGAGAAGTTTTAGGTTTATAGAAAAAATGAGCGTACAGAGTTCCCATATGCCCCTTTCCCAAGCCACCCCTCCCTCCCAATTTCCCTATTATTAACATCTTGCATTAATGTGGTACACTTGTTAAAATTGATGAACCAATATTGATAAATTATTATTTAACCAAAGTCCATACTTTACATTTTTGCTCTTTGTGTTGTATACTTGTAAGGGTTTTGACAAAAAATATCATCCATCCACCATTACAGTATCATACAGAATAGTTTAACATTGCCCTAGAAATCCCCTAGCTCTGCCTATTCATCCCTTCTCCCCCTTAACTCCTGGCAACTGTTGATTGTTTTACTCACTGTATAGTTTCACCCTTTCCAGGATGTGATATAGTTGGAATCATACGGTGTGTAGTCTTTTCAGATTGGCTTTTTTCACGTAGGCATGTGCATTTAAGACATTTTACATCTTTGTGTGCCTTGATAGCTTATTTCTTCTTATCACTGAATAATATTCCATTGTATGGCTATTTATCCATTCACCTATTAAAGGTCATTTAGGCTTATTCCAATCTGGGGAGATTTAAAATAAAGCAGGTATAAACATTCATGTAAAGGTTTTTATGTGGATATAAGTTTTCAATTTGTTTGGTAGATACCTAGGAGCATGATTACTGCATCATATGGTGAGCCTGTGTTTAGCTTTGTAAGAAGCTGTCAAATATGTTTTCCAAAGTGGTTGCACCATTTGTCATCCCTACCAGCAATGAATGGGAGTTCCTGTTGCTCTACATCTACATCTGCCTCAGCATTTGGTGTTGTCCGTTTTGGATTTTAGCCATTCTAATAGGTGTGTAGTGGTATCTTGTTTTAATTTGCAATTCCCTAAAGACATATGGTGCTGAGCATCTTTTTTTAAATATTTTTTATTTTAAAGTAATCCCTATACCCAATGTGGGGCTCAAATTTATAACCCCGAGAGATCAAGAGTTGCACACTGTACTGACTGAGCCAGCTAGGTGTCCCTTGAGCATCTTTTCATATTCTTATTTGCCACCTGTATATCTTCTTTGGGGAGTTGCTGTTCAGATCTTTCACTCATTTTTTAATTAGATTGTTTGTTTTCTTATTGTTGAGTTTTAAGTGTTCTTTGTGTATTTTGGATATAAGTCCTTTATCAGATACATATTTTACAGGTATTTTCTCCCACACTGTGGTTTGTCTTTTCATTCTCTTAACAGTATCTTCCACAGAGCATAAGTTTTGAATTTTAATGAAGTCACCTTATCAATTTTTTTCTTTCATGGGTCATGCTTTCTGTGTTGTATCTAGAAAATCAGCACTAAACCCAAAGTCACCTAGAGTTTCCCTATGTTATCTTCTAGAAGTATTTTAGTTTTGTGTTTTGCATTTAAATCTATCATCCGGGGCGCCTGGGTGGCTCAGTCAGTTAAGCATCTGCCTTCGGCTCCAGTCATAATCCCAGGGTCCTGGGATCGAGCCCCACATCAGGCTCTCTGCTCAGTGGGGAGCCTGCTTCTCCCTCTGCCTGCTGCTCCCCCTGCTTGTGCTCTGTCTCTCTCTGTCAAATAAATAAATAAAATCTTTTTTTAAATAATAAATAAATAAATCTATCCATTTCAAATTAATTTTTGTGAAAGGTGTAAGATCTGTCTTTTTGTTTGCTTGTCTATAGATGTCTACTTGTTCCAGGGCCAGTTTTTGAAAAGACTATACTCCATTGAATTGTCTTTGCTCCTTTTTCAAAAATCGCTTGATATATTTGTGTGAAAATATTTCTGGATTCTGTAGTCTGTTCTACTGACCTGTCTATTCTTTTACCAATGCCATATTGTCTTAATTACTATAGCTTCATAGTAAGTCTTGAAATTGGATAGTATAAGTCCTCCAACTTTGTTATCCTTCAATATTTTATTGGCTATTCTAGATATTTTACCTTTCCATAGAAACTTTAGAATCAGTTTGTCAATATCTACAGAATAACTGGCTGGGATTTTTATTGGGATTTTGTTGAAGCTATAGATCAAATTGAAAAGGGCTAGAATCTGAACAATTTTGAGTCTTCCTATTCAAGAGCATGGATTCTATCTCCATTTATGTAGATCTTGTTTGATTTCCTCCATCAGAATTTTGTAGTTTTCCTCATATAGCTCTTATACATTTTTTATTAGATTTATACCAAGTATTTCATATTTTTGGTGCTAATGTAAATGGTATTATGATTTTAACTTCAAATTTCTATTTTTCATTTCTGATATCTAGGAAAGTACTTGATTTT